CGCATCAAATAATGTCGCACAGTCCCACTTACTGGTGTCTCCATTTTGAAAGTTTAACTGTACTTCTTTATCCAACTTCCTACCCGATTCTAAATTGTAAAATTTGTTACCACTGTTGTGTGTATCATCCCATTCTCCATGCGTTGATTTGTATCGAGAGTTCCATTCTTTGATGAAAAATTGAGCAAGTTCCGTTTGTACCACATTGATTATTTGCTGAAAGTAAGACAGATTTCTTGTTCCTCTGGATTCCATCTGTACAAAATATATCATCATGATTGGAATGAAGAAATTCCAAAAATTAAATATACAAAATATGACATTTAAAATATACTTGTTTTGCAGGAAATTGTAACAAATGACACATTGTCTGGGTAGCACAATTGTGTTTTCCATTGGCTATGAAGACAGATTTGTAATGGCAAAAATTCTTTTTTAATTTTAAGAAACCACAAATTGTTTACTAAAATTGTTAATTTATGATAATAATCAAGCATAAGCTAAGGTAAACGATTTACTATATAATTTATACATTGTACGTGAAACGAAAGTTTTTACTTTGCATTAATATGACAATGCGTTTTAGTTGGTGGATCTTTAACGTGTAATATAAATAAGCTCAGAAAAACTATGATAGTAAGCTGTAAGCTATCCCTTTGTTATGCTACTCAGAGAAAAAACAAGAGACAGGAGCTTCTAGCCGTCTTCGTAAAAGAGGAAAGTATGGTTTTGTGCTAATTTCAACGGACAGCAGTTTTTTACTGACCCTACTTTCAGTTTTATCTAAATCAAAACTTAGACAACATTAGTTATGTAAACATATGCATCACTTTTTTGGACAGTTTGCAGGAACGTAAAAACTTAAATTGCTTTTTCAGAAGTACAAAATGTTAAACACGATGGACATGGATTAAAACAAGTGTGTAGAAATTATTTTTTAAAAACGATAAGAGTGGCCATGAAGCAACATAATGAGAATGAAAGCCAGAAAAGAGAAGAAAACAACAGTGATGTTGTCCTGTCTACAGACGAGCGCGCACTTAAAGGACATAATGAATCCAAGTGTTCCTCAAATCAAGACAACTATAGAAAGTTTTCAAAACCATTTGGTAAATTTTATTCTGTTTTTAGCGATTTCTTGTATGCCAGACTACTTGAGTAAGAACGTGGTGATGCAGAAGATGTTTTAAATAATGTATCAGGTGATGTGCTCAATATTTAATTTAGATTGTCTATATTGACGTAGTTATTCAAGGTAAGATTGATGGGAAATCAGGGATTGCCCGTTTCCATTTATTTAATGAGATAAAACTTTGCACGTGACTTAAATGATGTCACACATAAAAGGTCCGTCTTATTATTTTAACAGGTCATGGACTAGGAGACTTGAATGCGTGTCTGGAGCGTTGTTATATGTATATTGAAGAGTCTATTTTTTAAATAAGTCGTTAAATTATCTTAAGATTAAGTATGGCCTTGTTGACGGATCTTTCATGTAAAATACCGAAGTTAAAAAGAAAAAATAATAGAAATTGGGCACTTAATACATGTTTGTATCTGAAAAGTATTAATTTGTTTGATTAAGCGATGGATCAGTTGAAATCCTACCAGAAGACGTGTCTCATCTGGTGAAGCAAGGGTTTGGAATTGCTTCGAAGAAAGGATGGACGCACATTTGTTTGGGGGTCAAAAAGATTAGAAAACCCATGTAAGGAATACACATACAGCGAAAGAGACATGGGATATTTTAAGAAATTAGTTTTCCACAATTTCTATTTCAAAGATTGACTTACTGCGACAAGAATATAATTCTTGAAGGTTAAAAAGTGGTGAAAACAAACTTGATCATATCAACAAATAAAAATCTCATCACGACCAACTAAAAGAAATGGGAATATGAAAATAATGATCAAAAATTAGCAAAGACCTTGCTTGCAGATTTGCCGGAAGGCTAAAAGCAGCTGATTATAGCTTTAGATACGATTGAAGAAAAATCTTATCAAAACGTTAAAGAATGTTACTGAATGATGCAGATCTAATACTAAATACCAAAAAATATGAAGAGACTGACGCTGCTCACTGATCATTTAAGGTGAACGGTAAAAAAGGACTACAGCAAAAACAAAAATGAAAACCAGCATTCTTATAAATGAATATGTCACTCATGAAGACACTTTACACGATATGTTCTACAAAGAAATAATAATTTAATCTGTTATTTTCACTACGAAGGAAAAAAGTCAGCACATTGTGCCAAAAAATATTTACGTGGCGTTTATCACAAATGTAAACAGAATAGATTTTATTGCATAATTGATTCTGGTGCAATTTAATATATGAAGTGTGAACGTAACAATTTATTGGACTATGAAGAGTTTAGAAAGACAACGAAGTAAATCATGAGGATGAACGTGTCATATTGTCTTATGGGAAAGAAACATATCGTTTGAACACTGGGTTAAATAAGTTAAATCAACGTAAAGGAATGGAAAATGTGCTCTATCTTCCCAAACTAAAGAGAAATTTGCTGTATGTTCAAGCTACGAGTAAATTAGGAACAACTGTTGTGTTTAAAAAAGTGAATACTGACAATATGTCCAAGAATTCTAAAATGTTGCTAGTTGGTGAGGTGTGTAGAACACTATATATAGTCAAAGTCATTCAAAAAGAGAAGATGTATGCTGCAAAGAAAGTGCAAATTTAGTACAATGGAATCAGAGGTTTGCAACCTAAAGAATAGACAACAATTCTAAAGTTATAAAGATAAATATGATGGAAAGAATAGTCAATGTAAAGGATGATGTACTGAAGCATGTGTAGATAGATCAACTACTGAAGCATGTGTAGATAGAAAAACTACTGAAGCATGTGTAGATAGAAAAACTACTGAAGCATGTGTAGATAGAACAAATACTGAAGCATGTGTAGATAGAAAAACTACTGAAGCATGTGTAGATAGATCAACTACTGAAGCATGTGTAGATAGAAAACTACTGAAGCATGTGTAGATAGAAAAGCTACTGAAGCATGTGTAGATAGAAAACTACTGAAGCATGTGTAGATAGAAAAACTACTGAAGCATGTGTAGATAGAAAACGACTGAAGCATGTGTAGATAGAACAAATACTGAAGCATGTGATAGAAAACTACTGAAGCATGTGTAGATAGATCACTACTGAAGCATGTGCAGATAGAAAAACTACTGAAGCATGTGTAGATAGAAAAACTACTGAAGCATGTGTAGATAGAAAAACTACTGAAGCATGTGTAGATAGAAAAACTACTAAAGCATGTGTAGATAGAAAATCTACTGAAGCATGTGTAGATAGAAAAACGACTGAGCATGTGTAGATAGATCAACTACTGAAGCATGTGTAGATAGAAAAACGACTGGAGCATGTGTAGATAGAAAAACTACTGAAGCATGTGTAGATAGAAAAACTACTGAAGCATGTGTAGATAGAAAAGCTACTGAAGCATGTGTAGATAGATCAACTACTTAAGCATGTGTAGATAGAAAAACTACTGAAACATGTGTAGATAGACAATCTACTAAAGCATGTGTAGATAGATCAATTACTGAAGAATGAGGAGATAGGAAAACTACTGAAACATGTGTAGATAGAAAAACTACTGAAACATGTGTATATAGAAAAACTACTGAAGCATGTGTAGATTGAAAAAAATTAGAGAGAGCGATTCTTTGAGTGCAGTAGGTAATGAATGAGACTAAATATTTTTTTCAAATCGTAAAATGACTTAACAGTTAGTGAATAATTTAAAAAAGTCACATTTACATATCGTAAACACGCATGATAATTCTTTGTCTTTTGTTTTACAAACCTTTTACTGGTCGACGGTTGAAACTTTCAGGTTTTGATATTTAACGTACTGGAAGTTAAGTGTGATATGAATAGATTGCCAATGTATTTATTAAGATTGCTATGCACGGTGGCCCACAAGTGTCACGGCAATAAACAAAACTCCACGGTGGAAGTGAAATATACTAGACATTATACAATATGTTTGTAAACATATACAATAGGACGCCAAAAAATCAAATTCAAAATGGCATCAAACGATTCGATTCGGTGGATTCAGAACTCTTTTATTTCATTCTTACCAATTTATTATTGAGTTTACTGATTCAGACTAGTTGCACGAAGAGTTTTACCTTCAAACACTTATCTTCTAGAATTCCTCTAAAGTAATAATGTATGAAGAAATTCGTGTGTTTTCAAAAAAACATCGTGACATACAGTATGTTAAGCATTTAACATTGCTACAATTAAAAGGTTAATGGCCAGTTTTAAGCAAAAAACGCAAAATAATGACTACAACTATGATGACCTTGAGAGATAAATTAATGAGTTCGTTGACGCACATGTTTGACTAAAAGATATTGTTCCGTTTAGCTTAAACGTCAGTTAAACACAAGTAAACCCACAAAAGTTCCTAAACATGCTGTTCAGTCAACTTTGCGAGAAATTGACACAGAAAAAACCTAGTGAAAAGAGGGTCATCGACTTAAAAGAAGAACTTGCTATAATCCGTCCTAACTACAACGTGATGGATACAAGTAACGGATCTAGCGATGTATCTGGCACATTACATAGAATTGTTTTCATGTAATCGCGTACGCTATTTTGATAGGATACTATAACGGGAACTGGCTGAAACTTAGCCCGGGCTAAAATTGCTTAATGTAATTGGTCCTTACTTAGCTAAAACCTCTGCCGGCCATTTTTATTGTTTTTTGTTACAATAACTTGAGGTGTTTTATTCGAATATTTGTGCTAAGATTGACTAAATAATGTAGCCTTACAATACAGTAATAACTAGGGGAATTAAAGCACATATATCAGCGAATGGGGAACAAAGTAAAAGGTTAAAAATGAACCAAGCAAAAGACATCCTTTACATCAAAACAAATGTGCTTCTTTACAGCTTCTCTTTTCACTATTTGTTCGCATGCACTGTAAATTTTAGGGGGTAAAAGTTATCTTTTTTTAGGGTAATATTTACTACCTTCAGATGGGTAATTCACTAAAGGGTAATATTTACTCTAAAATCTTGGGTAGTTTGCTATCCGTGGTTTAAATTTTACCCTCAACATAATGGTAATGTTTACAATGACCCTCTTTGGGTGTAAATGCAACATGTGGGTGTAAAAATTACCCCATGCGTTTGGTGTAATGCCAAGTGCAACGCATGTTTTAAAATCAACATGGCGGAATTAAGCAAGAGTGGAAGAAACATGCTTCTTCGTCAACAGAGTCCAAACCACTTTGTCGGAATATTAGCATTTATGGTCTATTTCTCCAAGATTTCTTGAAGAAAGTAAGTATATTAAATATATATATATATATATATTGATTTATAGTGTAATTAACTAACACCTCGTAATGTAAGAGTTGTAAACGAATACTGAATACATGCTCTCATTACTCTGAAGTTCTGAACTTCGTTGTATTTTGAATAGGCTCTTGTATTACTAACCATTTAAGATATTTGCGTACTATGGAAAAGGCTGCATTTAGGTTATTTTGGCAAAATGACCTGGAGATAGAATCTTAACTGTCTAGGGTTCCGACTATTTTCTTTTGAGTACGTTTCTCTTTGCGATTGTTGCTCTTGATCAACTCAAATGCAATAGAGGTTGTGTTTTGTTTCAATAGGAAACATATTTTCCTACTAGAGAAGGTTTATGCTTCTGATTATGTTTTAATTCATATTATGCTCGCCTTTTAATTCAACGTAAAAATGCAAAGTTTTGTTCCTTAAATAACAGGTATTTGATATTTTGGACACACAAATATTTTGTTTTGCCCATGAACTGAAATATTAATCAAATGCAGTGGCAATGGGTATAGTAGCTCTTGCTGTTTAATTATCTGTAGCTCAGTTGTGTCAACCATTTCATATGCACTGAAATGCTCATGAAATTTGACAGTTCCAAGTTTCTGAGTAATGAACCATGCTCTTTCCAAATTCCTTTCTACCACCAAAATCTCTTTCAATATCACAAAACATGGCATTTCTTCTTTGTCATGACTAACCCACAAAACACATCCAGCTTTGAATTTCGTACCATGAACTGAAATCCATTTTGGTCTAAAATATTGAGAAAAACAATTTGTATTTTTGTTCTGTAAATCTACTTAATTGAATAAGTGCATTAATAACTAACTGCCAAAAGCTAAAAAAAACTAGGAAAAGGAATGTTCAATCATGAAAATTGCAAATAGTCATTATTTGTATAAATTTTTCTTAAAATTACATTTTTTACTTCTTTATACATAAAAAAGTATGTGCAATAACTGCATTTTACCTGAATTTTTTAAAAATTACCTTTTCAATTATTGATAAAAGCTTTGCCATGCGTATTTCACTCAAGTTTCAGTGAGTATTTTTAAAGTATACCTGGCAATAGAAGTAGTTTGATGTATGAAGACATCCTGGTTGCTTAATAAGTCATAGTTCTCATGATCTCCTGCACATAGTGTTGGACCTTTAAATTTAAAAATTTAAATTTACATTTGTAATTCATGCTCATTTCTTGCTATAGCTCCTTTAAATTATTTGCTGTACCTGGTCCAACTTCAATGCCTTTTTCAAGAAATCTTGATTCATGATTGCCAGACTGCAACTTATAGCAAACCCATTGTTGGTGTCGCATGGCCAAAGTAAATGGTAAGTTTGTGTAGTTACCAATTAAAGTGCTCAACTTCTTAAAATAATGGTGTTTTGCTTCAAATCGCATGCACCAAGCACGAACTAGAGGGCCCATTCTAGAAGTTTTAAATATGGTACCTTGCTATTTGATTTCTATTGAAGGGAATACTCTATTACTGTTTGATTTTGCAATACCTGATTATAGCACTAGGAATGTGGACCATAAAATGCATTTTTGGAATTATGCTGCAGTGGGGATAAAGCTCCTTGAACTTATTGTGGTGGTCATTGATTAGGACTTGAAGATATGCCACTTCATCTTTTGATATTACAGGTGAAAAGCAAAGAGATGTGATTTGTAGCAAACTAAGAAAAAGTTTCTATCGGTCATTTTCTGGAGGAACAATATTTCCAATTATGAGTGGTAAGTGAATTGCCAAGCACCACATCTGAGCAGCTGCAATCAATTAGAATAAAAACACATACCTCAGCTACCTAGCTGTTGGAACTACATCAACATATTACGATAATAATTATTATAAGTCATTGTGCATTTCCAATGAACAACGTACCATGTTGTTTTAAACTGTTGTCATTTGATGATAACTTTGCTTCTGATATTGGTGATGGTTTGTTGGTGTCATTGTAATATCCAAAGTCGTATTTGGCAATTTTTTCATTCAATGTATCCAGAGTGAAATAACGTTCCTCTCTTATATAATTTTTTAATAATTCCTTTGTTTCGTATTGCAGAACCCCCTCTAAAATGTCATGCATTATGTCTGGTGGTAAGCCACCAACAACATGGTAGTAGCTGCTTAGATTTAGGATTGATGTACGGTTGATGCCATACACTTTACTGAAGTGTTCGCCATACTGTACAACTTGAGAAGCATGGGTGTTATAATTTTCTTTTGTTCTCAAAACAAAGTCTTTTTCATGATACTAAAAGTAATAGTTGCGTTATTGTATGTAGAGTAACCACTAACTAATTCAAGTTTGAATTAAGTTGATAGCTGCTGCAATGAGAGATGTTTTTTATACCTTTGTTTTCATTTCCTCAGCACTTGCAAGACAATATCGACATGGCTTGTTTGCACTGCAACTCTCTTTAAATCCTCCTAACAACTGTGCCCCAAGATTGTCAGCAGATGTGTATGCTATGGATCCACAGAAGGTCTCGTCTACACCTTTAATGTCGAAGGAATGACCACTGTTCAGAAACAAAAGGGGAAAAGTGAAGTTGTTTACTTTATTATGCTGCTGTGTGAGCTGAGCATACCTTTTCTAACTTTTTTAAATCAGTAACGAGTGGTTTTAGTACTGCATCAATTCCATACTCTTTAATGTTAGACGTTTTGCATAGACACAGAAGCTGAATTGCCTTCATCGATGACCGATTTAAGGGATCAATATTACCCAGTGTATAGTAGAATGTTCCTAAAAATTTATATGTGTAATTATGAAAGTTCTAATTTAATAATTTCGCGTTTAATTAATTTATTTTACTTTACCAATTTTATGTTTAGTTGCCCTCGATCCAAGCGGATTGCATGTTTCTAAATCGTCGTAATACAACATAATCTGAAGAGCCTCTGTTTTTTTCGAAAAAATTGGGTGCATTTTGAACTGATGACCATCACAACAGTCTCTCAGAAGGCTATCTGAACTCATGTGAGGATTTTTGACCTAAAATTTCAAGGTGAAAGAAATAACTTCTAAGAAACATCATTGTGAAGATGATAATATCTCAAGTGAAATCATCGTAAATGCAACTTTTCGAATTTGCCATAATGTATATTTGACTTAACTATTATTTAATTTCAAAGACCATGCACCTGACCTCTGCTAAAATGAAGTCGTCATTTAGAAGCTGTTGCAGACTATCCAAAAGTGGTATATAATATGCCTCATCATTAACTTGAATTTGCTCTAATACACCATTTCTTCTTTTGAAGACTCTCTTTTGACCCAGAATAATTCTACGTGGTTCCTGTTTAAAAAAAGCAAAGACGTCCAGGAAAGCTTTTTCATTGTTTTACCATATGTTTCTGCGTTCTCGTTAATAAAATGGAATACCTTTAATCCAAAATTGTCTTTGTAAAAACGTCGTCGTTGTGCTTCAGTTTCCAAGTTTTTGAATGGATTGGCTATTGCGTTGTTCTCTTCAAAAATCTCTTGCATCCCAGGCACAATTTGACACGAAATATTTTCATTACCTAATCACCTTTTTACTTGTGTTTCCACCGTTTTTAATGTGTCTTGAATGAGTGATTTTGTGTTTTCTATAATACTTGTAACAGTAGTCTTCGGCATCGAGAACTCTTCTTGTATCTTGAGAATATATAATGCAGCCAATCTGGTGTTTTCTATGGTATCGATATTTTCTTCCAATACTACGCCTCCATTTTCATCATTTTCATTATTATTTCTTACGTTTGTATGCTCCTCAACATTATTTGGCTGTGATGAATGCTCTTTTTTTACATGCTTTCTCCAAGTATAATAACTTTTAAATGTTCTTGTACAACCACTTATGCCACACAAACAATGGAAATTTGGATCATTCCTGTGACACCTTCCAATGTGGTTTATCAATTGACTGCGATGTTCAGCAGAAAAATCTCCACATATATTGCACTGCCAGGGCATGTAAGCATCGATGTATATGTAGATATGGCAAATTTTCCTTTTATTGTCTTGTTTATTATAAAAGCTTGAGGTTTTTCAGTCCATTTTTAAGAGCTGTTATTTTACAAAGCTTCTTGTGACTTCTTTCCAAAGTACCGGAACAGTGTTTATCCCAATAACCAGGACAAGCAAACAATTTCAAGTAATACAAAATAAAACAAATAAAATCATAGCTAAAATAATTTGTCATAACTGTCATTTCCGCTTGTAAAGACATTTATAGCATTGTATTCTGTAAATGAAACTGTTTTGCTATGGACAAAAATTTGAGGGAGAAACTCGTTAATTCCGGCGTAGAAGAAGCAACAGTTTCTATATTGGAAAATCAAAAAGTAAGTGAAGTGCATCTACAAATAAAAATCATAGCTAAAAATTATGAGGCGCCGTTCGTTGCAAAAATCAAAAATGTTATTCTCATGTATTTAATTGCTCTCACCACACATTGAATTCGTTATCCACATGATTCATAGACTGAAATCTTTTCATTCCATATTAAAAAGCCATAGACTTTTGATTTTGCTAAATTTTACCTTGTTTTGTAAAATCTCACTTTGTTTTTAAATTTCACTTTGTTTTGTAAAATCTCACTTTGTTTTGTATAAATCTCACTTTGATTTTGTTTAATCTCACTTTGAAATGTGAAAATCTCACTTTGTTTTTGTGAAAATCTCGATGTAATTGACGTAAAATTTTACAAATACAAAGTGAGATTTTCACAAATCAAAGTGAGATTAAACAAAATCAAAGTGAGATTTATACAAAAACAAAGTGAGATTTTTACAAAAACAAAGTGAAATTTATACAAAAATAAAGTGAGATTTTTACAAAAACAAAGTGAAATTTATACAAAAACAAAGTGAGATTTTTACAAAATCAAAGTGAGATTTATACAAAAACAAAGTGAGATTTTTACAAAAACAAAGTGAAATTTATACAAAAACAAAGTGAGATTTTTATAAAAACAAAGTGAAAATTTAGCAAAATCAAAAGTCTATGGCTTTTTAATATGGAATGAATCATGAATCATGTGGATAACGAATTCAATGTATGATGAGAGCAATTCAATACATGAGAATAACATTTTTGATTTTTGCAACGAACGGCGCCTCATAAAAAATAATTTGTCATAACTGTCATTTCCGCTTGTAAAGACATTTATAGCATTGTATTCTGTAAATGAAACTGTTTTGCTGTGTTGTTTTTGGGCAGGATGGACAAAAATTTGAGGGAGAAACTCGTTAATTCCGGCGTAGAAGAAGCAACAGTTTCTATATTGGAAAATCAAAAAGTAAGTGAAGTGCATCTTGCATAAATCATAATAAAGTAAATGGTTTGAACCCGGGAGTATCGTTACAAACATATAAATACCGGAGGGTATCGTTTACAAACATATAAATCATAATGTTAAATATCGCATTGATTTCCAAACTTTCTCTATCTAGTTGAATGACTGTTTTATATTAAATGAAGCGGATATCAGTGTTTTGGTTTTGTGTGGAGTAAAGGCAGGTGATGCAATGCGAATTAAAAAAATTTGCGCAGAAATGGTGGTTCAGAACAAAGACACGACTGCATCTATGGTAAGTGTTCATGCTTGTGTGTTGTGTATAAAATAATATTCCTAATATTTATAACCGTGTCACCCACAGTGACTATTATTGATTGACCTTGACTGGTCATATTGCTGGTCATAGGAAGTTTATAATCAGTCATAACTCCTTATCACAGACAGTCTTGAATCAAACTGGTATGTTTGTTAGGTTAAAACTAAACTTAGGATGTTTTATATAAGTGCGCTAGTTCCAGTCTTCAGTTGGAAGTTCGGACTGATGTGGATGATGCCCCGATGGAAAACGAAAATACAAAAAATAGCACACTGCCATTACCCTTTGCATATCAAGAAAAACGAAACCGGCTGTATTTCAAAGACTATAAACTGCTCGAAACGGTACAGTCTAATTTCTCTCTTTACTCTTATTTTGATAAATTTAGTAACCACGGAAAACTATCGTTGAAATGTTCTTATTTAAGAGCAAGTTCTTTTTATTTTACACATATGTTCATATGGACCTGTTTACTTTACCAGTTTTCACCTGCTGTAACATCTGCTTTGGCAAATAATTGCTTGACTCGGACACTAAGGAGCGAATTTATAAGGGATATATGTACAGACATATCATCTCATGGCATCGCTTACATAAACAAGGAGGAAAGAAATAAAGTTTCTTTTGCAATTGTCACTAAATACCCTCATCTCAAGGATGCTATAGGAAGTGGATTGGTATGTCATAACTCAGAGTAATTAAACGTACAGGTATATTTAAATTTTGCGAAATGATCTTGCGTGACAGTATAGTTAGCACAAACTTCTTTTACCATAAACGACGACAGGCAAGCATTTCTGCCTGAATTTGAACTTGTTCCTATTATTGTGTTTCCCATGTAAGAATTAAATGATGTTCTGTTTATAGCTACAAAGCATAACTAAAACTTTTAATCTAGTTAGATCACTGCATGTTCCCTCACATTTATCATAATGATCAAAGTCAAAGAATGTCTAAGCGTAAGTCAACATTCTTCTATTTAAGGAAAATGAACAAGTGTGCGCTTTTCTTCAAAAGTCATAAATATATACAATAAGTGGTGATTTGAAAATTTTTAGGGGTCTTGGTCTGAATCAATCAAAAATCGATTTAAACATGTTCGAAAATACGAGAACAAAAAGAAACGAAAGTCATCGACTGTTGACTTTGATGTCCAGGGCAGCGTGACTCCTCGTAAAGAAAGGCCAAGACAAACAAATATCTGGAGCGAAGTACCATCATGTAACAACACAACGGAGACCATTCACAAGGAGCATATTTTGCACTTGCAAAGTGAATGCCGCAAATCATCATCCATTCAGGATTATGGAATTATTAAAGAATTAATGAGGAGAAGAAACGTATTTTATTATGATCATTTATATTTTTATTACAAATATAAAAGTTAAAAAAACTGAATCAAATATGACTAAAATCAGTGTTTAAAAATATCCATGATAAAGGGACAGTCAAATGTAAAGACAACTTTCCCAATAACCTAGGTCAATATTTAAAGTATGTTTGCGAGTTGAGGCAGATCGACTTCCTCGTATCGCAGTAATTGCTGACCTAATCAGTGCGAAAGACAGTTTACAACGCATCCACGCTAGCGTGATGCCATATTGCAGCTTTCTCTTTTGTGCCAGCAGATCAGCTAGCCGTTTATAAGCAATTGCAGTCTCTTTCGCCATACCACTTGATGTTGAAAAGACCAGTGGTGTAAAAGCAGCATATTCAATCTCTCTTACTCGATCACCATATTCCCTTTTCTTAGCCATCTCATGCTGACGATAGAGTGCAGGTAGATTGGTGTTTTGGTAGCTCGACGCGTTTGGGTGAAATACCCTTACATCAAAAAATGCATCTTGCTGTCTAGACCAAAAACCTTTAGCACGAATATCTAGTCTCGCTTCTTCTTGTCTATTGGCTGTACGAGGTAATATCACTTCCCCAGAAAGAGGTTGTAGTTGTGGCTCTTTCACAACTGTCGAGCAAACTTCTGCCATCCACTGTGCTGTTATGTGCTGTTATATCTCGAACTTCATTATGTCTCACTATTGGTAAACCACCATGAGGACATATCATCGCGTCATCGGCTGCAAAAGCCCTTCCACAAATGCAGTGCAGAGGGGTATTTTTCAATTGCCATCCATAACGTAAACTTAATGCATCTCGAAATTCCCCTTTGTTCAAATTAAAGCCTTGATCTTGTAATGGAAGTACACTTAATCATGATGACGATCCTTTTTCGCTCAGTATATCTAGCTTCCTTTGCATTGTTGGCGTAGAACTATCTCTTATTTCCTGGATCATATCATCCACTTCTTCTTCTTTTGCTCTCGTAAAGTCATTTTGATTGACTGTAACTGAGGTTTATGAAGTATCTCTTTCTGTTGAACAATCATGTCTTTCAGGCATTGACTGATCTTTTTGGAAGCAAGATATTCTTCATTTGCACTTTTAACTGGGTTGATAATATTTAGACCACCAAATCGTATAGGAAGTGAAAGGAGTTTTCGCTCATCTGGATTGCATTGCTTCGTCTGATATTGTAAGTTGAATTCATTAAAGAATTAATGAATTCAACTTACGATAACAGACGAAGAAACATATTGACTACAGTTGTTCCTGTTGAAGATATCGTACAACAATATCCTCCTTTATCCACACTTAAAGGGGTTAGGGGTTGAATACGTTACATTGTGACAAAGTCTTGCTTTCACCATATTTTACAATAAATCAGATATTTCACAAATATTATTTTGCAATTTTAGATTCGCCATGAATACTGCAGAGTGATGAGAGATGATTGTGCCGTTAAAGACATGAAGTCTTCATTCTCTACTTATCGAAAAGCAATCTTAAAGTACTGTAAAGAATTATATCGAAAAAGTCCATTCATCAAGAATACTTTAAGGTGCCTAGAAAAAGCAGTATCAGAAGGAATAGAGGACTCCTCCGGTAGGTAAAAATAGCCTAGTAATAAAGCCATTTTTTTTATTTTTTTTTCGAATTTTATGTTGGGCAATTGTTTCTTTAATACGTATCCGTTTCCCACCTCGCAAGTCTCTCGCTTTTAGTTACAGAGTGTTATAAATTACAAGGTGTAGCGATGACACTGTCATCCCTATATGCTTTCCGCGTGGTAAATCTATTATCACAATATTTAAGGAAAATATAATATTTTATAAATGCTAAGTTGTGTTAACGTTTAAACAGACTTTGAAACAACAAGTTCAGTGATGCTGTTAGTCCATTTGCTAACCAAGAAAACGTCTAAAAACAGCCTGATGGAAATGCTGTCGGTAAGCAATGATAAAGACTTCTTAGTGAACTGCATGCAACGCTTGTGTCGATGTTCTTTAATTTACTAGAAACGTTTTCCATACAGTGCATTCATCGAGGCAACTTTCAAACACTGAAGCATTTTCTTTTTTGTGTATGTTTTAGGAAGATGATGATTTGCCTAACAAAACAACCCGCACCACCTATCCACGGGTTTTGGTTATTGGTGAAAACATACTGAAGAATGACAGGCTACTATTGTGCGTCGAAGGACGACAACTCGTTGACGTAACTTCATTTTCTTTAGACACAGTCCTTTTTACGCTCTATGCAACATACTATGTATTTTCTATAGCTTATCCACAAGATCATAAGGATGTATTTCTTTTTATTGATTCCGTTTTTGTTGGGTTGCAGCACACTGCTATCAATAGAATTAGCTTGCAAAAATTTATTAAAGCTCTTGCCAGTTTAAAGTAAGCATTAAGTGGACATTTAAACCATTACACTGGACATTTAGACAATTTTTTCTGTTACGGTGTACAAATGTTTTATGTTGGCGTAGCTAGCTCAATTATTGAGGGGAGTACTCAAGGGCGGCGGAGTATTGAAAATTGGGGGGCGCTATTATTAATTTGTGCCCGTTCTACTTTACATTGAAATTGATTAGTTTTAGGAATTATAGCATTTGAATATATGAATCCCCCCCCCCAAATATCAATGTTCTGCCAATGGTAGAGTATTTATGTTTGCCAATACTCTGTCAATGGTTGAGTAATTATGTTTGCATGTTGAACCTCGTTACTTTTCCTTGAATCTAATCTTTTTTATTGATAATAACGCGCATTTTTAATATTTGCCTCCCTTCACTCCATTCTCGAGATAGCTACGCTCATTCCTTTTCTGTTGAAATAAAGAGATTGTTTTTTTGATCTATTTTCATTTATTCTTACTATAGATTCAGAGTTCGTTTTAACCCCATTGAAGCATTACCTCCTGTATTTGCTCATGTGCCCTAAAAAATGCAGCATTCTGTGTAATTTATTTTACCCCAAATTATGGGGGAATTGCATGTCCATCAAAATCACCCCTTTAAAATTTCCCCCCATAAATTTTACCCCTTGATAAATTTCACCCCTTAATAGAAGTTACCCCTAACTAAATATTACCACCGTAAATTTTACCCCTAAATAAATATTACCCCCATAAAATATTACCCTTCAAAACTGGGGCATTCTGTGGCACTCATTTCACCCCTAACGTTAAGGGTAATTTTTACCCCTCAAATATTACAGTGGCATGTCTGTATTTTTCATTTAGTAACCGACATAGCGAACAACTCATCCTGTTGGTGGCCATTGTTTGCGCGAGCAATAATCACGAAACGAAACTTAATTGAAAAAATATCTGGCCCCAAGAAAGTCACAACACGATGCTACACACATTATGTTTGTCCGCCTAAAAGTTTGTCAATCTTGAGTTCTTTGACGCAGACCGCATGGAGTAGTTATATTATGATGCAATTCACTACATATGGCACTTAGAGCGTTAAGTATAAGTTTCGGTTAATAGAAAATATTTAACACTAACAGGGACCTGTTATGACTCATATCACAGCAGTTTTTCTCTAGAAATCCCATGTCTGAAAATAATGACATTTATAACGGTATGAATCTTATCCTGTGAGAATAGACGAACTTAGTAGCTATTATAAGAGCAACAAGAATCACTTTGGCAATATCGCCAGTGTATATTTGAACGCTTTGTTAGTTGTTTTATCAAACATCAGAAACCAAACAATTAAAAAACTTTTTCTTTGAAGATATGTCTCTACTTATATATGGCAAAATTCGTTTAAATCAGACGTACCTGTGTCGAGAGGAGTGAAGAGCTTGTTTAAATCAGAAATTTGTCAAAATACCGTAAAAAGTCTGGAGAAAAATGATGCTTTCTGTTTCAATGCGATTGCTTTTAGAATTTGTGAAGCTCTTTATCATAGCAGACGTAGAGTCGCAGTCAAACACTGCAGGTTGCTAAGATAAAGGAATTTTGATGAAATTGAACGAATCTTATTGGTTGGCAAATAATTAGTTATGCTACTAACATTTTTTGCTACCAAGCAAGAAAAGTAATTAATTAAAACAGTGGATTTCAGTAAATGGACAGCTGTTTTACATTTGTAGTTCACCCATTTGATCTAAACTCTCCGAAATTATGTCCTCTCATTTGTATTTAGCATTTCTTTGACATATAGAATTATAGCATATCTTATAAAATTTAAATAGTGTGCAAGTGAAGAATGCCAAGTCACGATAAAACTTTTACACACATAAATTATTCGTAATGACAGGAGCACTACATGCGGTCGTTCCACAAGAACTAGCTAATGCAAGAGAAGAGTTTTACACTTATCTTCTTTAATTTTTCTAAAGTATTAATGTATGAAGAAATTGGTGTGTTTTCAAAAAAACATCGTGACATACAGTATGTTAAACATTTAACAATGCTATAATTAAAAGGTTAATGGCCAGTTTTAAGCTAAAAACGCGAAACATTGACTACAACTATGATGACCTTGAGAAATAAATTAAGGAGTTCGTTGACGCACATGTTTGATTAAAAGATATTGTTCTGTTTAGCTTACACGTCAGTTAAACACAAGTAAACCCACATAAGTTCCTAAACATGCTGTGCAGTCAATTTTGCGAGAAATTGACACAGAAAAAACCTAGAGAAAAAAGGTTAATCGACTTTAAAGAAAAACTTGCTATAAGCCGTCCTAACTGCTACGTGATGGATACAAGTAACGGATCTAGCGATGCATCTGGCACATTACATAGAATTGTTTTCATGTAATCGCGTACGCTATTTTGATAGGATACTATAACGGGCCCTGGCTGAAACTTAGCCCGGGCTAAAATTGCTTAATGTAATTGGTCATCTACTTAGCTAAAACCTCTGCCGGCCATTTTTATTGTTTTTTGTTACAATAACTTGAAGTGTTTTATTGGAAAATTTGTGCTAAGATTGATTAAATATTGTAGACTTAAAATACAGTAATAACTAGGGGAATTAAAGCACATTTATCAGCGAATGGGTAACAAAGTAAAAGGTTAAAAATGAACCAAACAAGAAACTTCCTTTACATCAAAACAAATGTATTGCTTTACAGCTTCCCTTTTCTCTATCAGTTCGTGTGTCTGCATTTTTCATGTAGCAACCGCCGTGTCGAACAATTCAAGCCTTTAGCGGCCTTTGCTTGAGCGAGCAATAATCACGAAACGAAACTTAATTGACAAAAACATCTGGCCCAAAGAGAGTCACAACACGATGCTACACACATTATGTGTATCCGCCTAAAAGTTTGTCAATCTTGATTTCTTTAACGCAGAACGCATGGAGTAGTTATATTATGATGCATTTCACTACATATGGCACTTAGAGCGTTAAGTACCAGTTTCGGTTAATAGAAAATATTTAACACTAACAGGGACCTGTTATGACTCACATAACAGCAGTTTTTCTCTAGAAATCCCATGTCTGAAAATAGTGACATTTATAACGGTACGAATCTTATCCTGTGAGAATAGACGAACTTAGTAGTTATTATAAGAGCAACAAGAATCACTTTGGCAATATCGCCAGTATATTTTTGAACGCTTTGTTAGTCATTTATCAGACATCAGAAACCAAACAATTAAAAAAAATTGTTCTTTGAACAAACGTCTCTACTTATATATGGCAAAATTCGTGTAAATCAGACGTACCTGTGTCGAGAGGAGTGAAGAGCTTGTTTAAATCAGAAATTTGTCAAAATACCATAAAAAATCTGGAGAAAAATGACGCTATCTGTTTCAATGCCATTGCTTTTAGAATTTGTGAAGCTCTTTATCATAGCAGACGTAGAGTCGCAGTCAAACAATGCAGGTTGCTAAGATACAAGGAATGTTGATGAAATTGAACGAATCTTATTGGTTGGCAAATAATTAGTTATGCTACTAACAACTGTTGCTACCATGCAAGAAAAATATTTAATTAAAAACAGTGGATTTCAGTAAATGGACAGCTGTTTTTATATTTGTAGTTCACCCATTTGATCTAAACTCTCCGAAATTGTGTCCTCTCATTTGTATTTAGCATTTCTTTGACATATAGAATTAGCATATCTTATAAAACTTAAATAGTCTGCAAGTGAAGAATGCCAAGTCACGATAAAACTTTTACACACATAAATTATTCGTAACGATAGGAGCACTAAATGCGGTCTTTCCCACAAGAACTAGCTAATGCAAGCCTGAAAATTCAACTAGCAATCTTATATTCTATTATAATAACTTACGTTAAAATGTTTTCCATCTTAGTTTTCAGTGTGTTCTCCTCGAAACACATCTTATTCATTTTACTTTAATATAATAGTGAAAGAAATCAAGTTCGTATTCTTTTCTTCCCCGAATGACAACTGACAAATTTCCATTATATAAAATAAAAGCAATAAAACGCCTGCGTTGATTGGTTGATAGCTGAGCCTCATCAATTAAATCAATCAAAGAGTATTAGCTAATCAATCATGAATACATGTTAGAGGAAATATTAAAGCCTTTGCTTTGAATTTATCTTTATTACATTATTGTTATTTTATAAAAGAAATATACAGATCTGCTTTCGAGTACTCCCAAAGGTCTCCTTAGTTTTAATATTTCCACAATAAACATCTTTTATTTCTGAATTGAACATCTGCTTAGTAACAATTTAATATGGAAATCATCTGGGCATGCGCTCCAGCATACGTAGTCCATTCAACTAATTGTTCATAGCCATGGCAATGACTAACTATATGTTCTTGCACTACATTTGCGGCAATTAGATAACTTAGTCGCAAATTATGAAAGAAATAATCTGGGCTTGCGCAGTAGTGACGTTAATGATACCACAACTTTTGCAAGCCTTTGAATTTTTGTATATATATATAAAGCTAAAACTTCAACTAGTAGATGTCAACTAGCAGTGGAAGCTGGGTGCGATTAGGTATGTAGTGGCTTAGGGGCCCAGACTTAGCCACCGCACTCTCCTTGCGTACCCCGAGCAAAGCCTAGACAATCTCGCAGACAATCTCAGGGTCTGATGGGCTGAAGCTTGCTATTGCATCTCCCAAGTAGGATAGCGTGGAGCCGTCGAAACCTCCTACCGAAACGTTAACATGCGGCGTTCTAGTACCATACGCTTAAGAAGGTAAGAAGGTATGTGTCATACAAGTTTTATTGGTTTATATTTTTCTGATTTAACTCTCTCATTTACTGTTTCTTAAGTATCACAAGCAAACAATCCATTGACTTTGTAGCAGACAGAATTATCTGGTTCCCTTAATTAAAATGAGACGCTCTAGTGCTAAACTATCTCGGGGTCTCAGGAGACATGGACCGAAAACGGATTTTTGTTTCCAAAATTTTTCATTTTTTCTTTACAAGAACTCTTCTCATAAACGAAACTAGTATTAACATTCACCCAACGAGCAAACGAAAGCGATATATGTTGAAACGTTTAATGAGCAAAATACAAAAGTAAAATATATGTGCTTCTACATCTATAAATCAACAATGCCAATGTGCTTATATTACCTCTAAAATAATTAACATAATTAAATTACATCATCACCCAAACAACGACCTGTTAGTAAACTTTACGCGGGAAAGTTATCACTCGTTAACAACTAGAACATCCAAGGATACTGCTAATGTTCAAACAGCTTCTGCCATTTTCACTTATAATTTAAGCCAACTCTAAGCATGTTTATACGTTTTTTACTCATTACCTTTTGCAACGTAACTTTCTCATAACTCTCTCGTGATGAACTAGAGGCTCCTTATACAATATGACTCTCTCATTATGAACGAAAGCATCCATGGGCTTCATGGAAAAAGGGGATTATCTACTTTGTTATAATAGTTTCTACAAAGATAACATTTAATAAGCCAAGCAATTTGTATCGTCTAAATTGAGCCTCGCTTTGAACCATTATGATATAAAATTTCGAATCTTTTTTGGATAGTAAATTTTTTTTTAACTTACAATATTTTCATGATTCAATCTAGAAAATAACTTCTCTCCTCGAGTAATTTTGCGATTAAACAGCACACTTTTCGGATTCAAAGGAATTCTTTTGATCTCATAGAGACAGCCGTCCAATTCATTACATACCTAAGCGTATATAAAGCATTTCTAAATCACGTATAAAATTTCCTTCACATGACCAAATTACCGTCTATTTAAAGGATGTTGTATGTAATAAAAATTTACCTTGACAGCTGAAGCAAACCCTCCTTTTTTTAAGCATTTGCAACACCTCAAATTCATTTCGAACTGTTGAATTTCTCGAAGCGTAGCCGAAAGGAATTGGCATCAAATAAGGATACTCATCTCCATCATAACAGCTATTTTGATTTCTCCCTTCATCTTTTTCAGCGTCAAGCTTATCTGAAGTGATGTTATTTGCTAAACAGTATGACATGGGATTTGGAGAGATAAAACGATGTCCAAGAAGCTGCTGTGCTAAGCATTGGTTAAGGCTCTCCGGATATAGACATCTATACAAAGTATATGACATTAAAAAACAGTAGTTATAAATTCTTCGTCACTTTACTGCTTGTTTTTCTTAATGATCTTCATAATTTCAAGCGGAAGCCTTGAGTGGCAGTTTTCAAGCATGCCTAACATTATATTAACAAATACATATTTCGAGAAGGGTAAAACTTTCTTTTTGACACTGCTATTCAATGAAAAGGAACTTGCATGTCCAAAACGAGCTTTTCAATGTATCCAAAGACCAAACTCTTTTCCTCGACATTAGTTGACTTTTTAAATAAAACACCTAAAAAATGTAAAAAAAAAACCCAAAAATGCCCAAACGCGTTTACTTGCATCATTGCCGCAGAATTCACTGAGTTCGTCCAGAAAATTGATGTGCACTCTGATTCGGTTTGTTTTATGGAGTTTATTAGCAATGAACAATCTACAAAATCTCCCCGACTATTACAAATTTGAGTCTATTTATATGTTTACATTTCGTGACACGTGCACTACTAAAACATGAATTAATTAAGAGAGAAAATACTTAGGAAGTGTTAAGTATATACACCCTAATTTAATTATAATTTTGGCACACATAAAACTCCGCATGGGAACTTATAAAATCTGGCATGCAATAAAAAATATAAATGAAATATCCTAAATTATACAACAATCATAATACCCTACTGGTAAAATTTGATAAAAATAGCAAATAATAAGTCTTTATACATATCTATTGAGCTAAACGAAAATTGTTAACATTTTTTCCCTACCTGTGAATGAACGTGAACTAATCCTTCTACAATCTCATGGAGAATCCACCACATTCTCTGTTGGTCCTTGTACTATCCCTCGTCAATAGAATTTGTTAGATGTTAACAGACATTATGTCAAACAAAAAGACATCCTACTTTGTAATGAAACAAGACAGATAAGTTAATCATAGTTTTTTTTATGTTACTTATTGTAGCTAACTGGGTGTTTTTTCTACTGCTATGCTTACATATCTTTAGTACAGAATGTCTGGTTATTTGACTGATTTGGAAGAACCAACAATGTTTGTTAAGTTGTGCTTGAAGTGTGCTTTGAGAAGTTTTTCATAAAATTAAATTGCAGCTCAACAATAGATAAATTCATTTTGCAGAGTTTATTACATAAAATTTGATTTTTAAGTTTATACAAAAGAACCTCTTGGAAAAAACACCCGAAAGCCACTTCTAATGAGAAGTTGTGTTAAGATAAGATGACTACATTTACATATAAAGTTTTATTAAAGCAAAGCAAAGATTACTGGATTTCACACAATGTCAAATCAGGCATTTGCTACCTGTATTATCCTTAAATACATATTTTTGTCATGATTTTAATCACAGGGTGGATGTTCTAAGTTTTCTTCTCCGACAACATACCTGAAGTAATCCATCAATTCTATATCATTTTCATCCATTGCCAATTCTGATTCTGTGTATACATCTCTCTGCTTCAATATACCACAAACATTGTTATCAGAAACAGTGATTGTACAGTTCCTATGTCTAGTGCTTTCAGGCAGAAAAAAAAGTTTATCAGGTACACCCAAAATCGAGTTGTCTATGAAATGCCGTATGCAATGTATGTTCCATTCTTGCTTTACCTTGTTAAGTTTTGACTGTAAAAACTCTGAATAAAAAAACCAAATACATTTCATCTGCAAGTGATTTCCCAATGCAAGCTTTCCTTCATGAACAAGATGTTTAAAATGATTGATAACGCATCAAGAAAATCCTCATCTATAGTGAGACCGCCAGTTCTCAATCCATTGATTAGCATGAGATGATGAATAACGATGCCCTTGCTCACCACCAACAAGGCTACATTACATCACTGTCAAAATAGTATTCTCTGTTCCACAATCTGTCTGTACCATTGAGTTCTATAATAACTGGAGGGGCTAACTTTACTGGGGCGAGATGCCAAAAAAATGGCGGCCAACGGACGTATTTCCGCTGAAATGATCGCTTTGCAGAAAAATAATATTCTCGACCTCCCCCTGGTGTCTATAGTAAATTATAAAGAATTTTTCAAAAACAAACACGATATCACAGAATATGGATATCGTTAGTTCCATAATCTGTGACGATTCTTTTTTGGCATTTCTTTTATAATGCCAACACTTCAATCGTTCAATTGTTGGATGCCGTAGTTTTCACAAAAAGGAACATATCGCTTCTCACAGGTGAGGTAGTTGTTTGTTTTGTTAGTCCGTCAACGATTGAAAAGCAATTATACATGCACTTGAAAAGCCATAAAATACATATTAAAGATCCTATTTTTTAAGACTGACTTGAACGCCAAATATACTGATGTTTTCCTGTTTATAAAACTCTGTATACTTGTAAAATTCTTATAAAATTCTGTATACTTTTCTGTCATTTGTTAATGCATGAAATCGTAAATTTACCCATCTATTTGCAAAATAGTTTCCCTAAAGCAAAAAAGACACTGCACACATTTTGCTCTGTATCAAAAATGTGATCTGGTATCAAAAAGAAATGATCAGCCCCAACGGTACCCATGATTTGGAGCAGAGCTTGTTATGTTCTATTTGCTGACAACATGCAGGGAAGATCAAGGAGTAAAGATGACTGGAAGATGTTATTGACCAGGCAGAGTCTTAAAAAATGATAATGCTGTAAAGATAATTGATTTATTGTCTGCCCTATCTAGAGTTATTTAATTTGATTGTGGTCAAATTCTATGGATGGAGACAATGGATTCACTAAGGATGCCTTGAATGCTTTGAAGTTAAAGTTCATGATCCAAAGAAAGATGGCAAGAAGGTTGTGTGTGTTTTGATGCTTAATGAAATGTCAATTCACAAACATGTAAAATGGAAGGCCATAAAGTTTGTGTCTATGTAAACATTTGTACTGAGATTGATGATGACTCGATGCAAATGTGAAGCTTCAAACTGTATAAGCCATTGGGTTTTATGTAACTTAATGTTTAAATCATGTCATATCTTTATCAAAATATTTTAGTTGAGTGTTGTTTGAATGTTACTAATATCTAATGCACTATACTGAAGCATTAAAGATTCAGTGATGAAACCTTTAATGTTACTGTACTGTAGATTTCTTATATATTTCTTATATTTCTTTAAGAAAAATTTGAGCTTATTTACCTATTAGAGTACAGAATGGATATTTATTATATGCATTATTGCTGCTTTTTTAAAGAAAAGTTTTTCACTTTTCAAAGCTTTTCTACAAATTTTTTGCTTCTTATTTCTTATCATGAGATTGATGATATAGAGGTAATATAATCCAATAACTTTCTAATTTCTAAAAAGCTTTTAAGCTTCTAGCATAAAAGTACACTATAGGTATGTAATTCATTTGGTTTTATTGCCTTGCTATGACATATCTACTTGCACTTCATCATTCTTGTATGAACAAAACACCAGATGTGGATACTCAGAGAACAAAATGCACTACCAACTGCTTATGAAATTTATTATTGAGGTGAAAACTGTGTTAATCATTCAAATTATAGTGCACTTTATTGCAAATATAGGAAAAACAAAACAGAGTGAAAAAGGAAGGTAGAAGTATTAAAACTACAAATGTATTATAAACACCATTGGATGCATAAGTGTTTTGATGATTATTTGCATTTTGCCCAATTCATATATCAATACAACAAAATCAAAATGTGCTACAACTTCACAAGTATTTGATGCAGTTGCACTTCAGAACATCACAAAAAGGTTACTTAAAGTAATTTCTATACAATATTGTTTGTTTTCATTTACCAAACCTATGCAGACTTGAGTCTTTTTGAAATTTCATATGAAACTCAATTACAGAAAATCCGTAAATATCCAGAGATTTAATATTTACTTTATTAAAGAAACAAGTAAAAATCCTACAATTATGGCGAAAAAAGCCATTGCCCATTGCATGAAAAGAAGCAAAATAACAATGATAAAAAATAAGCTAACTTCTCTCTCGTGAACCGTGGAGATGAACAATGATAAACTTTTTTGTATAGACTAAAGAGTTTAATCGATCAAACAAGTTTGACGCTGGTAAGAAAACGACGCACATCTGCATTCATACATGTGTATCCGACATATAGGTCTTTCGTCGATAGTTATAAATGCATCCTCGTAGGAGCAGATAACTGACAACCACAGTTGACTCGCTGTTATGAATTTAAGGTTTTTACCTTGATTTTCATCAAAAAATTGCTTGCCGAATCCCAAATACACACATACATTTTCCTCACTCTTTTCTCAGGAGGGAGTGGGAAATTGTGAAATTTTCGGAAAAGCGGTCAATTTCGGTAAATCTCAGCGGCAACGGACGAAATCCGCCATTTTTTTTACAACATCCGATATCTAAGGCCGCGCTTGAGATAGCCGCTCCAGTTATTATAGAACTCAATGGTCTGTACTAGGATGGAGCAAAACTTAAATTCCTCCACTGACCGTAAAAAATTAGATGGGATAACTGGACTGTTATTGCTTTTGCAAACTTTTAGGCATATTATTCGTCAAGAAAACCCGTCAACACAACCGTGAATTGGTAAACCGTAGGGCTTCAGATTATCGTATCCATCTACATGCCAGGTTGCATTTGGTCCATCAGATACGTAAGTTCGCGGAAGCAACTTTCTAGCTTTACGGAGTGCCGATGCTTCTGGGTCGAAGTCTTTTAGGATTCTCATAACTGTGTCTCGAGGAACTGTTATATTGTAACTTGTTCTTAACTTATTCCACATACCCCTGTAACCAAGAGTCGATGATGGTCCCTTAATTTCGTTCTTAATGACTTGCCGAACGGTGTCTTCTGAGACAGCTTGGTCCACTTTTTGCAAGCCGTATGACTGAAGCCTTCGCTTTAATGTTCTCATCGACATTGAAATATCATGGTATTGGAACAAGAACAAAGTTATTGCGTTCCAATCATAACCACATATTCCCTTCTTATGCAACCACAAAAAGGTATCCTGTCATTATAGATGCTTTTGAAGAATATAGGTAACTGCATGTAGTTCACTGATTTATTACACTGCTGTACTAGGTATAAATTGCTGGGAAAGTTGCAGTAGTCTAAGAGTTGCAGTAGTCTAGTAGAAAGTTTTATAGCCTAAGAATCTCATCTTAAGAGAAGTATTTAATTGGAGAAAATCAAAATGCTAAAGTTTATGATGGGAAAGGATTTTTCCTCAAGTATTATTATATTGCACTGTATTTTGTTTATGTCATTTGTTTAAGAGTGCATAACTGCTTTCTTTGTGTCATTGCTTTTTTCAGAATTTACAGACATAAACTAAACATGTTGAGCTGTGTTATGCCTGAGCTTGATGAAGGAAATATCTGTCCTGCTTGTACCAAAGTGAGTATGTTCATATTACTTGTTTAACAAGAAAAATTAGGAAAAAGAACATTAGCAATGCTATCTCAAACACCTTTTTGACTGCATCATTGAACTCAAATACATTGCATGATTTTATCCTTCATCATTTTATTGAATATTTGATTTTTTTTCATTTTCTACCACATAGTTTTTATTTTCAATAAATTTTTGCCATGGGCTTTAGGAAATAAAACTCTTGTATACTTTTTTGTTTGTTACATATTGATATTTATAAAAATGTCATGGTTTTCTTGCTGGAAATGCTGTTTGATCAATGAGTCACTACAAAGCTCTTGATGAAACAGCAATCTTTGGACGAGGCTGTTGACATGAATTTCCTAAAAAATTCTTAAATTTGAAACATAGAGATAGGTCTGTTACAAACATTTTTGTCTATTTTTTACCTAAATGTTCTTGGTTTGAAAGAGGTGGTTAGGATGCATGCATTTGATGGTATAAATTTATTTTTTTCAGTTGGTTTGCTACTTTCAATGCTTTGTGCAAGTGCTGAAGCTTTTTGCATACATGTGGTTGCATTATTTAAAAAAATATCCTACATATTTTATAGATTGAGCTATGCAGTTTATGTTCTCCAAAAATTAGAGAAAGATAATGCTGATAATCCTGCACTCAAAATAAACATATTGTATGATGTTGCATGCATGTTGGTGAAACACTTACAGGCAATATTCAATTGACAATAGTTGCTTTGTTACCTGTTTCCTTAGTCAATAGCTTTCCCTCAACACTTTTTTTCTTTGAAAAGGTAGTCTTTCACATGTTTTTCTTTATTTTGTTTTTTACAAAAAGAATTTGGACTATTCGATTGTTGACAATTTTCAATTCCAATTTTTCACTGCTATGGGCATGTTGGACGATGCCAAGTTAGTTGTTATTTTTATTTTTCATACGAATAAACAGATGTTGATACCTGGGTTTTTATGCTATCATAACTAATGGTATTGTAGATAATAAATGATGAAAATTCAATAATTGTTTACTAAATCTTTCTTGTAAAAGGTTAAATTTAGTCCCCGTCGTAAAGAAGGATTTGGCCTAACTGACGGTGAGATGTTGGAGAGATTGTGGGCTTACATTCGCAAATTTAGCAGAATGACTAAAGAAATGCGTCCAAGTCACAGAGTTGATGTACTCAGTTATGCTCTTTTACATTATGGAAAGAAAACGAAGATTAATTTAGGTATAGCTAGTTTTTCTTTCTTTGTTTGAACATATACATAGCTAACATGTCATCATATTATGTAATAGCAGGTATGAATTAAATTTTGTTTTTTGAGGCAATTTGCTGATGGCAAGGATGAAGCGAGCTGTTGACGTGAAAGAAACTGCAAAATTAGATTTTGAAAAGTTATGCAGGTGCTTTCCGTGTGAGTATATGTTTGTATTTCCTTTTGATTATATTTGACTCCGATTTTGGATATAAACTATTTACGACTCACATGAAAGCAGTAGATTTTCTTTTTTTCATTATCTAAAGCTCACAGGATTTCAATAGATGATATTCATGAGTGGATGAAGGACGAATCGACTTTTTTTGGTCGTGAAATTGAGACTGGTTAGTAAATGAGAAATAATGGCTTGTAGCTAAGGAACAGATTTGACACATAATTATTGCTCATTATGTGGAAATGTTTTACCCACAGAAAACTTTTTTAACAAATATACGTAAATCTTCAACAACTTACAGAAGAAGAAGATTGGAAATGCAAGTACGTTATATACCTGGTCTTGTACGCTGATCTTTACCATCGATGGAATGGTTGCACTGATCCAAGTGAACTGACTGTTCGATTTAATCAGATGAAAAAGTATGTTCGAAAAGTTCAACTTTTTTCTAGAGATATTAAAGTCTTAAACAGTGTGAATTTAGAAAAATAAAGTGGGAAAATTTTGAAGCTATTAATGTACGTCGCAACATTGTGAATAATAAGTTGGAATATCGAATAACAAATTATTTCTTGTTTTTATACGTACGTACAAGTAGAGATGTATATGCAACTGGCAGGTGCTTGTCCAACTGTGCCTTATATTTGTAATGATTTGGTATTTACTGTTTAGAATTGACGAGCAGTTGAAGATCATGGAAAGGGAAAACTCAATTTCTGCAAGCTGGCAAAATACTGACTCAGAGTACGAAAATGCAAAACGCGAGGTTGCGTCTAGGAAAGAAAAACGTGTTTTGTCTCGAATGAGGAAAAATGTTGCTGAAAGATGGTTTCTCCTAAATCTTAAGTCTAAATAATGTGGTAACTATACGTATCTCATAAATGTTCCATACAACTTGCAATGTTTGTAAATTACTTTTCATGTTGCCTTCTATGTAATGTTCTCTGTATGTTTGTAAATGTTTCTGTATGTTTGTTCTGTTTTTCAGATGGTCAAGCGTTGGCATCCAGACTTTCGAAGCAAATTACTCGAGTAACAAAGGATGTCAATAAAGATATCGCAGCTTATAACTAGGCGAAACAATCACATTCTAATCATTCACATACCGCATTAACATTTGATGCTGTCAAAGATCCTGATAATGATTTTTGGTGTGAATATCTAGCTGCACCCACTGATGAAGATTGTTCAGTTCCATTTACTGTTAAACGGAAGGCTATAGATTTATGACATTTGCTTGACTGATCCAAGGAAGAGGAAATCCTGTTGAAGTCAGAAATGGAAAATACGTGGAGTCACTACTTTCAGCAGCACGGCAAGATTACTGACTTTTTGAATAGTTTTATTAACCATGAAAACGTACTTGATGTTGAATATGGTGAAGCGATATTTTTACACACGACTATGAAAGCACCAGCGATGATGTATAACAGGGTTGTGCAGTCACTGTAGTATTGGTAGTTATACAATGTAGTATATGATGAAAATTGATGTTTTATATACATGGGTAATAGCCACCCAACGTACGTGCGCTGGATAATAAAGGTGTTTAAATAGGCTTTTTGTTAAACAAATACTTTTTGAACAGTCATATGTAACTTTTTGGTAGTTATACAATGTAGTATATGATGAAAATTGATGTTTTATATACATGGGTAATAGCCACCCAACGTACGTACGCTGGATAATAAAAGTGTTGAAAAAGTTGAGGTTTTTTTTGAATAAATACTTTTTGTCCATCAAAGCACATATGAAACAACTGTTATGTTAGCTAAATAGCTAATGTAGTTTATAGCGTTGCATAGTGGTGAAAAGATTTACTTGTGTTTTTGAGGTAACTATTTTGATTTTTAGCTAACTTTGATATGAAATATATCTATAAATTGGCCCAACTTAGTCACCAGTTCAATTAATCGTTAACTGGACTCTGTTTGACATACTTGTTTTCTACGTCTTGTAGTTGTAATTAAAGTCATCTTTTATTTTAATTATAGACAAAATTGAAGTATAATTGTCTCCTGTACAAGAATTCATTATTTTTGATAAAGTAGTAGAACTTAGCTAAAAAAGAAAATCGTATTCAGTAAACCTAAACTAAAAACAGCGCTAGTTCATCGTCAATAGTATGTTTAGACGACATTGAGTGATAAGAGTAAATCAGTATGATACATTGTCAAGTCACCTCAAATTTTTACAAGATCCACTACAGCTTTCAGGTACTTCGGTATACAACAAGGTTAGTCACTTTCAGAGTCTGCACCGTCTTGAACTCCACTCGCACAATTATAAATTTTTTCAGCGTTATTTCGGAGACAACGCTCAGTTTTTCGTATACAATATATGCAGGCCTATAAGAAATATCATAGTTTCACTGTCACATAGCTTTCACAACAAAAAAAACGTCTTGGAATTTGGCGTTAGATGAACAACAAACCTCAGGGAATAAAACGTTATACATGTAGTTGATGTTCATTGAATTTGTTTCATCAAAGGATCGAAAAATATCTGTGACTATTTCTTTGACTACATTCAACAGATCTTTTGACTATATATACAAAAATGACGAGTTAAGACACCAGTGGGGCTCTATTTCTAACAGAGAATATGTTTTTATACTTGAGTTCGAGTTAAAGGACACGTCATGTAGAGATCGGTGAGTTCAGTCTGAGCTTGATTTCGCCCATGGATGATTTACTGGGTATGGCACCGTTGACGATTTTTGTTAAATGTGTCTAAAATTCAATGTTAAAATATTATAGGTATGTTTATCTGCAACTGATATTAAATAATTTAAATTCTAGCAGAACCTTTAATCTTCTGAACGAGCGATTTCCCTTTATATTTATGTCAAATGTTTTCGCAGATCTGTCAAAGAAAAATGAAAAGAAATGAAATATATTTATTCGTGTGTGTTCAAGAAACTCACATTTTAGAAATAAAACATTTAAGAGCACGAGGTACGTATTAATAACTGTTATGAATACGTATGCAAATAAATCGGTGATATGCGCAAAAATGAACGGACTAACAGTTCGTAGTTTAGAAAAAGTGGAAGTGGATGTATAATTTACCCATGAGTAAAGTAAGATACATTGCATCCGCAATCAAATTTTCCTTTCGGCTTCGTCGTAATGCCAACGCAATCATAATGGTACCATTGTTGACAAACATCACACAACACCCAATCCACCATTCCATTATCTTTGGAAGATGGTTGTTGACGAAGAAAGGCTTTACATTTGTCATAGGATGTCAAATGACTAGCTCTTTTCTTTGCACAAGACACACTATTTCTGTCACTGGACTTTGCCTCTTTTCTTTTTCTTTTGTTGTTACTTCTTCCCTTCCTGTGTTCTTTATCAACTTTCTTGGGCACGGCGTTTTCTGTTACAAGGTGTCCGTCACCTTCATTAACTGTTCCGTCTCGTCCACAAAATACATTCCCAGAATTACCACCATCATCGCCACCATTATTTACAACATCTTCTCTATCGCCGGGGACATCACCATTTTTACAACCATTATTAACATTATCAGTTCTTTGTCCATGGCCAACATCATATTCGTCGGAAACGTTGTTAACAAGTTCGCCATGACTATTATCATCATTCTCACCACTAACTTCAACAACTTCTTAGATGTGGCCGCCATTGTCTTGCTCTTTGTCCCATTCCTCAACATTTTCTGCATGAAGAACAACATTTCCTTAAACTATCTCACTTTCTACAAACGTAAACTCATTTGATTTTTCAATAAATAAATCCAATGCTGCTTCTCCCATAGTCGATGGATCCCGTAATGATGCGTGTTCCGGAATTCCACATAATACATATTTGAAATCCCTTTTCAAAAGAGAAGTGTATGGCACTTTTGCTTTGTCCATTCCAGTTGCTTCACCTAGAATGTTTTTTGAAACTAGTATAAGCTATTCTTACTGAAATTGCTGCAGGATTGTGTGCAACTCCTTTTATTAATCATTGCTTCTAATATTACAAATTTTCATTCAGAAGTAATTGTACTTATTTAAAAAAAATATTGACCAAGAACAACCTTTTCATATTCCATCTAAAAAGTTTTACAATTAGTTACAAGTTCATACTTACAGTATTTCTGATTTAAAATATCACGCAAAGATTTTCTCTTCTGTTTCAATTCTCGGTAACAGTTTGAACGTTGTCGTTTGACTCAATTGCTACAACCAAAAAGTTTGTATTAGATTAAAATTAAATAAGAAACAAAAATCACAAGTTCTCAGTTGTCCTGGAAAGAAAAATGTATTTCCTCAAAGGCATGATGTAAAGTGGCGACCACAAACCTCTAGAGCTGTTTACAAAAGCAAAAAATGAAGCGGGGATGCTCTTTCTTTTGCAGTATTGTAAGGCAGACTTTGAGTCATGCATTTCAACACCAGATTCCACGGCAGCCACGAAAAAGTAATCAATGTTCAACCCTTATTTTGACCCAATAAACATACCTTCTTCAAAATTTTTTTCAACTCTCGTTTCTTGCGCGTTTCGTAGTCTAAAACAGAGAAATCTGCCTTTGCCCTATTTATATAGCCTTCTCGTTGGTTTTCATCCAGGCAGCGCCATCGTTGTCTCAATTCAACATTTCTAGCTTGAAATGTCAAAGACTTTAAGGAGTCTAAAAAAAGAATAAAAATGTGCATAATGTTAATAGAGACAACTTTGTGTACGTAGCTATTCTCACCATCGTTAGAAGCTTCTTCTTTACAAAATAATTGGTATCCATTCATTCCACTAAAAAAGTAAATGAATTTTATGTTTTATTTGAAAATTTTGAAAAACTTGCAGTCTTTTGAAATGATTTCCTTTGGCTGCCTATTGATGGACAATTGTACCGTTTTGAAAAGCTGAAAAGTGAGTGAAGAGTCAAGAAATTTTCAATTCGTTATTGCAACCATGTGGAACTATCTTGTTCTTGAGTATTGAAATACTCAGGGAAAGCCCCGCATAATTTCCCGCGATTAAGGGAAAATCCCTATGCGAACAAACCACAATATTTACAACATTACTGCGGCTTGTAGATCTAAATTTGGCACAAATTATAGCACAGAGATATGCATGCTCACCATAAGGTGAGATTAACGAGCAGATATGGAAAAAGTTATAAAACAGCGATGTAGACAAATAAGGAGCTTTATAAAATAGATTTATATTGAGGTAGAATAAATCTTGGAATGAAAATGAACTTGTTAATAAAATATCACAATGGATAGCATTATTTTACCTTGGCATGATTCCTATCCTGCTTAAAATCAACCAGAAGAGTTTATTTGGTGTGCAATATAGCCTAGTTTGTTTGAAACAACACGAAGGGAAAAGATAAGGTTATGTTTATTAATCACCAGACCCCTGTCTAAGGCCGTGCTCGGTAACCACCAAAGGAGCCTGGCGCGAACGTACAGCGTACGTGTACTTTGACGGCTATCAGCCAAGTACTTTTTTGCACTAAAATACGGCTATTAGCCATATGCTTAAGATGAAGAGGGTGTTTATGTTTGTCTCCTTTTATGTACGCATTTGGACGATAAACGTATTCATTTTGCATAATGTTATATTTGTCTCGTGTGTTGTATTATTTTTTCTTAATCACAGGTATGTATGTTTGGATTGCCAGTATAACTTTCTCGACCGCATGTTTACGCGTTTAAAGCAATCGTATATACAACTGGATACACAATATATTCTTCTCGATGGACTTTTGTCATGTACGGCTTGCTATATTCTTCTATTGTGCTTTTGTATCTGGGCAAGCGCAGATATATTGCTATCATGTCTGTTAAGTTTGTTATCTTTCTCCACGAAAATATTTTGGAAATCATACAAATCACATTGTAGCTACGAATTACTTACAAGCGCTAGGGTACGTTT